GAATCGGGAGGGACTCACTTGACGTGTTCTTCCCATTTTGGTAGGTGTTTTTTGTTTGGTGAAGGGGAGGGTTTCTTACTTGATTGTTCAGACCTCTCAACGAGAGCACCAAATGGTGGATAGTCTACCCGGGGGGTATCTTATCCGAGGGGTTATTGCGGGAATAACTAGAGAGAAGTCAGAGCAAATAGGAGGAGAGAGAGTCGATTTTATTAAATGAACTCGAGATGTGGAGTTGAGATGTAGATGATGTCTTACAAGGAGAAAATGGGTTGCTATTTATAGCAGCAATAAATGCGATGAGAGGACACGTGTCAGTAATCCAACGGCCGAAGGGTCACATCAACCGGTTGGCACCGGCAGTGGTACGTTTACCGCATTGAATGCGGCTGGCGGATGTGACGTGACATTAAATGCGGTGGTTGGCTGTCTCCAAAAGGAATCTTCGATGATTGAGCGTGTCTGGCCGGAGGTTCCTGGTGTAGCCGAGGGCTCCATGTGACCAGGACCCCTGTGTAGCCGAAGGCCTCATGTAGCCGAAGGCCTTATGTGACCGAATGCTATGATGCCGAGGGCTTGACAATGCCGAAGGCTCATGTTTTTTGCTGTTTTCTCCCAGTAGCTTTTTATGCCAGAGAAGGCTATTCTGTGAGTTTTGGAGCCTTCGGCCAAGGAGGCCGAAGGCACCCCAGCGTGTATTCTGGGCTACTTTGAGGCTTGGGCCGTTGTATTTGGGCCTGAGTTGTTCCCTGCGCCCAACGGACTTGTGTAGGAGAAGTAGGAGTCTATGGGCCGGGGGTTCCTGGGCCATATACTCCATCAACTTATAAATACTCATTTTTCGTGGATCAATCATTTCCTTCCTCTTTTGCCATTATATTGCTCTGCGCATTTTAGTTTCTCTCTCTAGATTTTTTACATACGGTGTAAGTTCCCATCCTTTTAAATCCCGTTCGTCGTCATGTCCTCGAAACCGGAATCTTTATCCACAGGCCAAAGTGCTCGGGGCAGTTTGGCATCCGCCTCTGCCCGCCCCGATGATCGGGTAGATAATGGGTGCCTCTCCGGTGATGACTTGGAATACTACGCGCGAGGGATGCCCCCTCGGCCCCCTCGTTATTCTTTGAACTTCCAATGCATCCGGCATTAGCACCAGTGTCTGCTCCCATGTCACAAGTGCATGATAAGCCAGTGGTTTAACCCACCACGAGTCTACGACGTCCGTCCCCTGCGCCACCCCATGCGCCATTTGCCAGGCCATGTGGTCGTACATATGGACTCTGTCATTGCTGGCCTATTTTTCCCTCTGCAACCCTTCCATTTAGAAATACTTAGGGATCTAAAGATTACCCCATCGTAGCTCGTCCCCTCATCCTATAGATTGATAGCAGGTTTCAGTATTCGGGGTCATAGTGTGGGTGTGACCCCTTTTGTGGACTTGTTCCATTACTTCTTTCGGGCGAGCCCATTCGGACGCACAGGATGCCTGAGTCTGACCGCTCGTCCTTCGAGGGTTATCTTCTCCAATAACGGCACGAATCCAGACAGCTGGGAGGAACGGTTCTTTCTTACCGGGGTGGGTTCTCCAATTCCTTTCTCGGATAGGTGGAATCCATATCCGGTGAAGTTCGGCCCTCCGTCCATGTCGGATGAGGAGTTGGGATATGCCAACCGTGTGGCCGGCCTTGGTATTCAAAACCTCCGGTTATTGGTGGCACGACCCTTTATAGATCGGGCCGGATTAGGTGCGTACTTAACATTTTGCCTTTTGATTCTGTATTGTTGATCCTGAACGTCCTCTCTTCCTTGCAGGTGTTTACTTGAACCCTCCAGTCATGGGTCGTTCTAACAACATTCTTCCAATCTCTGGCCGTCAGGACAAGGACAAGAAGGTGTTAGTCCCTAAAACTGAGCCTCGTGTGACACGGTCGCGGGCCGAAGCTGGGTCGGAGGCCGAGTCTTTGCCCAAGAAGCCTCGTCATGAGGGGAGTGCTTCTCGGGCCATCGTAGTAGTGGATGAGTCCGACGAGGAACCTAGCAGTCCTCTGTAGCGGAGATCAGCTGCTTGGACGAAGCCACCTCCATCTCCTCCAAAGAATTCAGACGTCCATAAGATTAGGGATGGGGACGTTCATGATGTACGTGCTTCCACTTCTCAGTCCATGGTCTCTAAAAACAGGGACGCTTGTGGCACTGGTTCTCATGGTGCTCGAGCCTCTTCTCCCCCCAAGATTAATGATCTTTCCTTGGGGCTCAATGAATTTTCTTGCGTCGGCCTTCAGAAGGAGTCAATGATGCTCTTTGGCCAGACGTCCTCTTCTATTTGGCGTGGCCTCAACCTGAAGGTGCCCCAAGAGTTTGCTGCAAAGAGGTTCCTCAGGATTTGCTTAAGTGCGGCAAGAGTACCCTGGACAAGCCCGAGATTTACTTTCATTGGACCCGATCTGCTTTTGAGTGGCAGGGGAAGGAGATGGCCGCACTACGGGTGGAGTGTGATGCCCTGGTGAAGAACGTCGGGAGTAGGGTTGGCCAGCTTCAAGGAAAGGCCGATGCTACAGATAAGCTGGCTCGGGAGAACGCCTCCCAAAAAGAGCTTATCCATGCTGGTCAATCTCCGTAGCCAGCTGGCGGAGCTTAGCCATGCTGGTGCCTCCGTCCGTCGGGTTGATACTAATGGTCACGTATCGATTTACGAGGCCAACGTCTCCAAAATCAAGGAAGCTGGCTCTATCGAGTTTCCGAAATCCAAAGGGTATACGGACGCGCTGCATGTTGTTCCCAAGCGGTTCCTGCCCAAGTACGTCGGGGAGTACCTCGCCGTCTGTCAGGGCCCTTGTTTGGCAGGCATTGAGCTACTCAAGGCTACGCCCAAGGTGAACGCTTCCTCGACGATCTGGCCGATGATACTTATGCCAAAGGCATGGTCGGCCTTGTGGCGGAAAATCTTCCCATCTTCGAGCGACACTTCGACGCTCCCTTTGATCCTGAAGCTGCCGGGTTTGACTCGCTGATGGTGGACACGTATAAGGGCGCTTTGGAACTACTTAGGGAGCGTCGAGAGAAGGAAGCTCAGGAGAAGGCGAAACAAATCCCCTTTAGTAAAGAAGTGGTTTATCCCGCCAGGATTCCCGAGGTTCGTTCAACTACCTTATCTGAGGTCCTACGTACGGCCCGCTAGGCGGTGTACGCTCGGCACGCAACATATTTTAGTACAAAACTGGTTTACCCCGCCAAGGTTCCCGAGTTTTGTTCAACTACCTTACCTGTGGTCCTATGTACAGCCCGTTAGGCGGTGTACACTCGGCACACGACAGATTTCAGTAAAGAACCGGTTTACCCCGCCAGGGTTCCCGAGTTTTGGGAGTTATGTCTCCCCTCCCCCCCTTTTTTTTTTCTTTTTTTGGGAGGGAATCTGGCCAATGTCCTATTGGTAAAATTTCTTCAAGTTTTCTACATTCCACACACCAGCAGGGTTGCCGTCCAAGGTGAGGAGAACGAACGTCCCATGATTGAACCTTCGGTGGACCCTGTATGGTCCTTCCCAGTTCTTAGCCATTTTGCCACCTTCGAGCGGTTTGCTCTTTTCTCGTTTGCGTAGGACTAGGTCTCCGATTTCTATTTCTCGGATTTTCACCGCCTTTTCAAAGTATCTCTGTGTGGCTCGGTGATATTCCTCCATACGACGAGCGGTCAGGTCCCTTCACTCCTCAATGAAATGGAACTCCGCTCGTATGATGGCCTCGTTGTCTTTTGGTTGGAAGTGCTTCGTACGATGTGTAGGTACGAGCACTTCTGTAGGCATCTTGGCTTGAAATCCATAAGCCAGGGCGAAGGGCGTCTCCCCAGTAGCTGTCCTTGGGGTCGTCCTGTACGTCAATAGGACATAATTCAATTGTTCTGGCCAGGTGGATGTGTAACCTTCCAATTTTTTCTTGATGTCGTCCATGATGGCCCGATTCATGTTTTCCACCTGGCCGTTGGCTTGTGGGTAAGTACTTCGAGTATATTTTGAGAAATAATTTTAATAGGCATATATTATAATGTAGTTAGTATTGATAACTATGATGTTATAAATGTATTATTTTTAATATTTAATGATTAATTTCTCACTTAAGATTGTTAATTGTTTTCTAAAATGGAAATGAGAACATTTATGTGGGACGTTCAAAAAAGGAAAGTGAGAACCTTCTAATGGGATGGAGGGGGTACTATTTATACCACCAATGGGCAGTTGGCTATGCTGACGTGGAGAGCTGCGAATGGCTGATGCCTCAACCACCAAACCTCCAACATTAAATGCGCCTCCTGCCAGAATCTCGGTTTCCCGTCCAACTTGTGGAGACGAGCGTCCCCCTAGGGTTGGGGCAGTAATGCTGCAAAGGGTTGTGAGCCGTGTGTCGCCTGGCCCTTGTGTAAAACGTGCCGATCAATTCCTGGACTGAATCTTCCCTGAGCCGTGGGCTAGGGATGGTGACGTGCGTCTTCCTAGCCTTGGGCCTTGAGACAAGATTATTCATGTTCTGTATAAACGTTCGTCCTTGCAGACTGACCTCGTAGGGTGTGGACGTTCGTCAAAGAAAGAACTTAATGGGCCGATCCTCTAATTGGGCCATTAACCCAATAATATTATTGGGGGCACATGCCCCCAGTGAACTCCCAATTTTTAATGCTATTAATAGCTATATATATATGTGTGTGTGTGTGTACTCCGCATTTTTTTGTTTGCTAGAATAGGTATGGACACATTTTTTAAGAGTGAAATAGTAGGAGTGATGAATAATATAAAAAAAGTATGCGAGATGGTGGAAAAATATGAAAGAGAAGATAAAAAAATAGAAAAAATAAAGATACTTGAGTATTTTTAAAGGAAAAACTTATCAAAAAGAGAAAGTGTAACAAATATTTGAATACATACAAAAAAAAGTGTAGCAAACAAAAAATAAGGAGAGAGTTTTATAAATGAACCGTGCCCCCAATGAATAAATATAATGAGGGACCCCAATATGTTAGCCACTCAATCAGTTATGGCGAGGTAAATCAGTCGACCATAACTCCAGTACTCCACAATGAAGTACTGTATATCAGTCGACCAACGAACTCAGTACCCAGTGAATAGCGAGCAATTCAAGTTGATCGTGTTTCTAGGAGCAGCTAACCAACTTAGCCGCCGCCAGCAGCGGCGACGCCGACCGTTAAGCTCCATGTCTGATGCAATATTAAGACACCGCGCTGCACAACTCATTGAGCCAGGATGCTTTTATTGTTCTCTGCCATCTCCATCTCTCTTTGCCAACCGATCTGCTTGTCGAGTAATTCAAATTACGAAATTTCACCTTCTATTTATTTTTCGTGTTTTTGCTATTAAGATTTCGTTTTTCAGTTTGGTTTGGTAGTTAATTTGTTTCCTTTTCATGTTCTGCAATCATGTCAGAGAAATCATCATCGAGCACATTCTTCTCTGTCCATGAATGGGTGCCAAGGTGACCCAAGAGCCCCCATCGGAACCATCCAAGCTCAAACGTTTCCTGCTGTCTCGAGCCTATCACTGGCGATGGAAAGCCTCAATTCCGCCATTTCGAACCTCCTCAACTCCGACCCTCTGCCGTTTGACTCTGGCATTATTCGCCTTCAGGTAAGAACCCCTGCCCACCTATACGCTATAACAATCGGACCGACTCGACGGGTGAACATAAAACTCTGGAAACGGCAAAACTAGGATGACCCAATCGACTTCGACCAGTTTCGGCCACATCTTGTCATGAAAAATACAGTGGGGAACTGTTTTTATTGCTCAAGCCTCTCAGTTATAAACTTGTAATCATAAATTCAATAATTCATAAACAATATATGTGGTCAAATATTACTATTTGATTTATGTATCTCATCTTACAAAACCATATCATAAACTTGTTGAGATTTAGAAGGAAGAACTGCACACAAAAACTCAAAAAAATGAATTGAAAGATTATATGAGGGTTTATATTTACTCAAACTTGTTAAAATCTTTAAATATTCAATTTTTTTGTCCCTGATTTGCTCAGCTATCACTTTTACCTTTCCACAAATAATGGTTATTTATATTATACGTCTAGATTTTTTTACCAAATAATTTCAACAAATAATTTCTCGATCTCATATACTGTGTCAAAAAAATAATCTTCAGTCGCTTACTTCCCAAATTAACTGAATATGGCCGATATGATTAAAGTTGAATATGGCCAGAATAATTGATTGATAGGCACCCTTCAGAATGTGTCAAATAATCTTTAGGTACCAATTAAAGAGAAGATTGAGGCACTCGCTTGGCTGCATGCCCAAAACCATCTTCCACTCCTCCCGCGCTGTTACTTCTCTAGTAGAAGCCGAATCCTTGACACCGATCCTTCATCCATTAAACATCTTATTGCTTCCCATCCAGTTCTTTCATCATCATCATCATCATCATCATCTCAAAAGCATAGGGTGGTGAGTGTAGCTGGCCTGGGCTCGGCTGTCTTCTTCCGCGACTTACGCCCTTTCTCATTCGATGATTGGCTCTCCATTAAGAGGTATTCTTCACCCCCCCCCCCCTAAGAATATAGCACACATGTACTTCATATTTTCTTCTTCAAGCTGTAGTTTTGAATCACAAAGGTGATAATTATTTTATATAACTTCTATTTTGGCTGTGAAATGAATACTACATACATTTCCCTTTTCCACTTGATCACTGAGAGTTTTGAAAGATGTGCCGCAATTCAGTTACCTAAATATTGTTACCATAATATGATTTAAAAGAAAGCATATATCCGAATGGAATCATATGCGATTACATAGATGAGCTAGGATACCGTTCACCTTCCTTCTACAGACTAGAACTGAAAGATGCATAGACAGGATAGGGGGAGTTCCGGACTGGGATTGTTTCTAACATACTAACATAGTATGTGTATATATGTATACATCCACACACACACACACACATATATAGAGAGAGAGAGAGAAAGAGAGAAATGATCCTGTCCAGCAGCCCCCGGTCCGAACAGTGTCCGAACATGGCCATTTGGGGCACTTCCCGGTGGAATTTTTTGATGAATTTTTTTGAGCATGTTCCTCATCAAGTCTAGTTTGTCCATACCAAATTTCAGCTCAAAATTCGATCGGGAAGGCATTCAAATCATTTTTTGAAGTTGACTGCGTTTTTTATATGTACATTTTGACGCAGTCAACTCCAAAAAATGATTTGAATGTCTTCCCGAACGAATTTTAAGCTGAAATTTGGTATGAACAAACTAGACTTGATGAGGAACATGCTCAAAAAAATTCATCAAAAAATTCCACCAGAAAGTGCCCCAAATGGCCATGTTCGGACACTGTTCGGACTGGGGGCTGCTGGACAGGATCATTTCTCTCTCTCTCTCTCTCTATATATATATGTATGTATGTATGTTACGGAGTATTAACATACACATATATTTTAAAGTAGTTTTGAACACCCAATAACTTAAGTTAGACGTGTAAAATCATGCATTAAAAAATACAATTGTTCAAAATTTTAAGTTAAAGTAGTTTTGAACACCCGATACTTAGGTGGTAGATCCACCACCGAAAGCGGCTGTGGATGCAGAAAATTGTGCGAAAAGCAAGGCCTTCCAAGAAGCTGAAGAAGACACAGCAGTAAAAGAAGTGTTCACAGCAGTAGAGGATGTTGTATGTCACCAAAGAAGGGACGATTGTGAAGGCGGCAGTGCGGCACTGCTTGGCTGGAGACAGTGGCTGAAACAGATAAAGCACCCATGGTGTTCATGTCTAGGGCTTAGGGGGAAAATTCTTGATACCATGTGGATATAATAACAGGCTTACCCAATCATGGGTGCCTTTTGGTGCATGTAATTATGTATATACATGGTAAAGATGTACATCAAATAGAATTGCATAGACTTGGGCCTGCGTATACTACAATAATATATGATTTCTCTTTGAAAGGTTTCTCTCCAAGGGATGCCCTCTAATTCGTGCTTATGGTGCTATTCGCTTTAACGCTACTGTAAGCATTGCTTCAGAATGGAGAGCTTTTGGATCATTTTATTTTATGGTTCCACAGGTAACCAATTTGAAAATTTCTCTTCTGTTTACTTGATGACTTGCTGAAAGGTGTATCCTGTGGAAGATCATGTTTTTTTGTATACTAAGTAGTTAAATCGCTACTTGGTGGCAACTCAGTAAATGGCGAGTAGCGAGTGGGACTGAGTATTTGGGATTAGTCGGTAATTACTCAACCATGCATTAGTTAAATTTTAAAAATAGATGCCCGAAATTGTAGTAACATATTAGTCTTATAATTCTTAGATCTGTTGAAATATAGGGAAAGTTCCTGAAATAGGAGTAAACAAGTTTTGGAATTCCAAAACAGGTCTGCTATATTTTTCTTCCAAAAATAGGAGTAACATGACTGTATTTACTGCCACCTTGGAGTTATTACTGCCAAAATAGTTGCATTACTAGGCATTACCATGACTTTATTTACTGGCAGTAACAATGAGGTTATTTACTGCCACCTTGTATTAATGGCAGTAACAACTTCTATTTCGGGAAGAAAAACATAGCACACTTATTTTGGAATTCCAAAACCCGTTTACTCTTATTTAGGGCAATTTCCTTGAAATATATAAGAATGAATGTAGGAATATGCTTTGGAATATTTAGGTATATACTCTATAATATTCTTATGGTACACAATGTCACATTCTTATAGGAATATTCTATCTTGTAATAAATCTTTAGAGGGACCTAAATCCTAACAATAAAGTTGCAAAAATCCTAACAATGGAGTAGCAAAATTCATAAACATTCTAAGTTTCCAAGAAAATTAATCATCTTATAATTTAGTCCGAAACTAATCTTCATTTAGTTCAAGGTCGTCATTTTCTTCTTCATCCTCTATGTCTCGAAATAGATCTTCCCCAGGATCCCACGAGTTATTTGTAAAGTTTTTTTTTTCCAATTCTAAAATACTTGCTCATTATTTGTAAATTCCATAGTATCCCACTTTAGTTTAAACTTTTCAGATTTAACCCAAAAAGCAATCCCTCCGCCACAAAACTTGGCCATATTTGATTTGCACGTGAAATTATGAAGTAAAATGTGTGTGGTTGAGATTTGTGCAGTGGAATAATTTTAACCACACATTTCTTACTTTAAATGGAATTGACAATATTTGACGGCTAAATTTGACCATGTTTTATGGGATGGAGGGAGTAATAACTAGTGGTTGCTGAGTAACTCGGTGAGTCAAACTTATCACTGAGTTTAGAAAATTGCTGAGCGGCGAGTAACTAAAAAAAGAGCAGACCAAGTTAGAGTGCTAATCGGGACAGACACCCCGAGTTAGGAGTACTCGGCGAGTATTCGATGAGTTCTCGACTATTAGACAACACAGTTTGTATATAATCCATCTGGTGTTAGATATTGAATCACAGGTTGAGTTAGATGAGTTTGAGGAAAGTTCAATGATTGCTGCAACTATTGCTTGGGATAACTCCCTCTCATGGACATATCGGAAGTCTATCAATAAACTACAGGAAACAATGTGTGAGGTCTGCCTTTTCTCATAGCAAGCCTCCACCATCCAAGCACTTCATTTGGCTTCTTTAACTCACTGAAAAGAGATATTACCCGAAATAGGACTAAAAAAGTTTGAAAATTCCAAAATAGGACTTCTTTGTTTTTTATTCCCAAAATAGGACTATTTACTGTCATGTTTTGGCAGTACCAGACTTCAAACATGGCAATATTTTCCAAATTTGGCAGTAATTAGTCCTATTTTGGGAATAAAAACATGGCAGTCCTATTTTGGAATTTTCAAACCTTTTTAGTCCTATTTCGGGAACTTTCCCCACTGAAAATATGCAGGTTTACACTGTAGTTGAACATTTGGTGAAAAGAGTTCCTGATACATATGTACTCCAGAAAACTCACATTCCCGGAAAAACATCTTGGGATCAGGCTGTTAATCGTGCTTTGCATATGATAAAGGGGGATTACTCTACTCTGATCAAGGTTTAACATACACAATTTATTTAAAGTTAATATGGCTTTTAGCCCTTCATTTATAGAAATTGCTACTTTTTGGCTCTTGACTTTCAATTGGGCATCTTTTGCTCCCTAACATTTCAACGTACCAATATAGTCCAAATGGTCCAAAATATATCTATACAAAGAAATGTTGTTGGGTAAAGTAGTGACAATTTAGACATTTGAACTAGATTGGGATAGCTTTGAGAAGCCTAGGGACCAAGAGTGGTTGAACTGATAGTCAAGAACCAAAAGTCGCATCATCGAGCATCCATAAGAAAAAAGAATAAAAAAGAACCGAATGTTTAAGCACTACGGGAGCTAAGTGTATGTTTTTAATTTTGTGCAGTAAACTTAATGTCATATTGCACTAAACTTACCGTCAATTGCTTTCAGACATTAAGTATATTAAACTTTGTGCATTAAACTAGACATCGTAGTGCATTAAAATATTAAGATATTGAAAGTGCAAAAAACTTTGTGCACTATGTAGTATATTGGAAGTATATTAAAATTTGTGTATTAAACTGAATGTCAAACTATGTAGTTTATTTTAGCCATTGCTCCAAACCTCTGCTAGAATCAACAGTGAAGCCATATAAGTGGGTCTTTCAAGTTACATATAGTTGAACTCACCTTTAAGTGTACCATACTGATTTTTTCTCATTTTATCTTATCCTCTCAAGAATCTTTTTGAGCTAAATTAGGTCTAATTTGATTGTGTATCATATAGTCTGGTCCAGTAATGGTTCATTTGTTTATTTGACACCTATAATTCTGTGTAAACTGTTTTAGGCTGGTTTGGCCCTTTATCTATCTCTCAAGTTTTCCATCTCGGTATTAATGATTTTTTTAGAGTGAGTTAGAGCCAATTCAGTTTCATCCAAATCAAAGATGTGAAGTTTGAAAGTCCAAATATTTATTTTATCATGTAGGTTGTACTTGCTCGCAGCAGCAGAGTTGTAACTGCTATAGACATTGACCCTTTGACATGGTTAACTTGCCTGAAGGTTCAAGTAGTTTTTATGTTCATCTGATTTACTCAAAGGCAAATCGAGCTGTCTCTAAACTTATACTGTAATATTTTCTTTTTTAGTACGAAGGAGAAAATGCATATCAGTTTTGTTTGCAGCCTCCTGAATCACCGGCATTTATTGGAAATACTGTCAGTGCAATTCTTCATCATATTAGTAGATGTTTGGGAGCTCGGTGTGGTCATACTCACTCTAACAAAATTGTGTATAGCCAGAGCAATTATTTCATCGAGACCAACTCAGCGTTTGCAGTGATGCTCTTGCTGGCACCCGAGCTAGAGGCGGGACAGCGCTTCTAGATCTTAAGATAGGGCATGATTTGCTTTCCAGGTTATCTTATTAACATGATCCTCTATGAATTAGCTATCTGCTCATGAGAAAAAAGACTTGAAATTTGTGGAGTTCCTCTAGAAGGCTAAATGATATATGCTCACTTTTCATTGTACTTGCTGGCTTGCTGCAGCCCAAAAGAGCATTATGAGTTCACTATAGTACGAGAGTGCATTAGAAGGAGACTGGAGGCAAGCTACACTGAATGCAATTTTATTAGATTCATATCCCACACTTTATTTGTTACTTTTGCAACTAAAAGTACAATTGGATTTTGTTACTCTCTGTTTCATTCTTTCTTTTCGGTTTAAAAGGCTGTGTGTTCCAGTGTGCTGATTGAACCAAAGAAAGCTTTGAAAAAACTTCCAAGAGTCCAACATCTTTATGCCCGATTGTCTGGGAGGCTTCAAAGTGAAGATGATGAGGTAGTTCTTATTATTGACTACAGTTTGTGTATTGGCTATTCTGTTTATAATTTATCAGGCACTTTTGGATTTCTAGGATCAACGGAGACTTGATTTTCTTTTTCACCTCATTCTATTTCTTTTCTCAAATAATATGGGATAAGGCACAGAGTTCAACCTAATCCGTGGAAAAAGCTTTGGTTCCCCTTTTACTTGGGCTATATTTGAAGTTTGGACCCCAGGAAATGCTAGGCAAAGGAATGAAATTTATTTTCTAATATTTGGTTTTACCCCTGAAAATGCAAAGGAAAATGAAATACAAGGGATTTTTCTAAAAGATTTGTAGAGTGATCAAGAAATCTAATTGATTAGATTTCTTGGTACACATAAAAAATAAATAATTTGAAAAGTGATTTTGAATAAATAATAAAATAAACTTATTGAGTTCGAACCGGTGCTTTATTTTCACCAACAATTCTTTCCTTACAAATTTCATTTATAATCTCCTTTCAATTTTCTTCCCCTATCATTTTCCTACTTCATAATGGAACCTTAACAATTGTTATCTTGAGATAGTGTGGAACTGCGGATAAAGTCATAAAACTATAAATACAGGCCCAATTTTCACTATTTTACTGAGTTACTGGCCGATGTGTGTGCCATGAGCCTCACTCTGCCACACTAAATAAGAGTGTGACCCACAATGACCTGTCCTCATCTCTTATCTGACATAACACTCACAATTTCTTCACTCTTCTTCAAAAATGAACCCTTACTTCGCTAGATGTGGAGGTTGATGATGAAGCATAATCCAGAGAGACTTCGCCGAACACATTAATTCAAATGTTAGGTTCATTAACTTGATTTATAAAATAAATTCATGTTACAACTTATAACAACATTCAAGCCATAGTTCCAAAAGATTTTGAGGTTGGCTAACATAAAACGATACATATAAAATGTCCATAAAGGGGCAATTTTTTACTACTATCAACAATAATCAAAGGGATACAGACAGTGGGTTCCACTTTTAATCCATTGTGGCAAGGTGGAATCATGTGGAGAGCATTAGCCAAATAAGGTGACAGCTGGATCTTATTTTATCCACTCCATTGTAAATCACTGGTTAACTTTGTTTAGCAGGAGTACCAGAGGGGCTTAGTTCTACCTTGATGAATAGTTCTAGGATACACCTAATCAAAGCTTTGTTTAGGCGCTGGATTGATATTATAGGGATTGTTCAGCCATTTCAGGGGCAGTTACAACTTCTATCCCTTGATAATAATTTACTTCTCCAGTTCAAGGTTCTATCATCGCTTCATCCAACTCCAGCAGTTTGTGGGTATCCGACAGAAGTTGCACGGGTTCTAATAGCAGAAACTGGTATGTGCCTATTGTTACACACCTACACTCCACTACTATCTTCACTAATTCTGTTCCTGACACAACCCCTCGGAAATTTGGGTATAAGGTTTGCTTGTTGCTCTTGAATACAATATGCACAACCCGTGAAATGTTGTGGCTGCATCATTATGTTTTCAGATTAAAAGAAGAGAAAATAAGATGAAATATTATGGCTTAACTTTTTTTTTGCGCATTTGCAGTTGATAAGTGATACTCCCTCCATTCCAAAATAAAAGTCACGTAATTCCTTTCTGGGCTGTCCCATAATAAATGTATCTTTACTTTGATCAATACTTATGAATACTCCACTCCATGCATACTTTACCCTTCCTTTTACGTAAATCTACAACTTTATCATTCCAACGTTACCTACCTTTCACTGCTACAATAAAAGGACAGGGTAGTTTTGGTTTTTTATCCCACTTTCTTAATCTTTGTGCCCAAAAGTTCCGTAATTTTTATTTTGGGGCGGAGGTAGTCATGGCTACCATGAACTTTTTTCAACTAGAGCAGCCCTGTTTACTTAATTTCAGGCATTGCATCCATCTAATTAATATGCTTACGTGGAAAAGCTATTGGGTAGAAAATGTACTATATTCAATTAGCAGGAATAGTTTAAAAAAAATTGAAACGGATTGAACTCATTTATCTTTGGGGTCAAATCACAAAAAGAAGAATCTCAAACTCTTGGAGGCTCCTTCATATGTCTTTTGTGGCCGAACATCTAACCTCTCATATTTCTGCAGAAACATTCGATCGAGGAATGTATGCTGGCCCCGTTGGTTGGTTTGGAGGGGAAGAGAGTGAATTTGCAGTTGGAATCCGGTCAGCATTGGTTGGTAAGGTATGCTTAACAGACGGCACTTGTATTTTATTTATTTAAACTTTCATTTTCATTATTCTTCACTTTTAGAACCCTGATAAGAAAGAAGTCTAGGAAATTGGGATTCAGCAGTGTTTCAAGTTTGATATTTTTCAACCAACAAACTGTCCTATGAGAATTGGAAGTAATGTGATTGCATAGTGTGTTTCCATTTAGTCTTTTGTTTTGACATCCCCTCCTAGATCCGCCTAATCAGCTTCCCGTCTACCTAGAGCTTTTTAAAATGACACATTTGAGTATAGGGGCACAAACAAGTCAAGCCGCTCATTAGCTACTCGTGAGTCGCTATGTCAAAATTCGACTCGAGTTCGGACAAACTCGAACTCAAGCTATTCCTTTGAGCTTGCGATTCGCGGGCCATAACATATTATATTTAAAAATGTATATGTAAACACACACTATCGGGTGTATATTTATACATACACCTGACCATAGTTGTCATGGCGCACAAGCATTTTTCCATTGCGATGGCACAAATATGGCGTCGCCACGTGACAAAAAAGCAAAATGACTCACTATTTTTTGGCTTGGGAATATGATGGAATAAAGCAAAATGGCTCATTAAACTGTGTGTTTCTTTGTTATGAAGCAGCAATCAGTCCATGCAATTTTCGACGCGATTTTCACTATGGGTCATCCCGGAAACAGTCTCTTTGTGCTTTAGAACAAGGGTAAGACTGTGTACATCCGACCCCCTTTTATCCCACCGCAGGTGGTAGCCTTTGCGGCACTGGGGTTGATGACGACGAGACATTATAATTGATCGACCCAACCACCAAAACAAAATAAAAAGGTTGAATCTGATAGCAATGGAACACCATCCTCATTCATTTCATCCTCAGAAGGATCTTCAACCTCGTCCGCCTCCTTCGCCTCCTCTGCCTCTTATGAGTATTTAAATTTATAAATTGATAAATTATCTGAACAAATCATTTAACTAAATTTACTTTAAATTGATAAATTGATAAAGTAACATAGCATTTAACATAAAGGCTGAGCTGTTCTATTGTTAGTCTGTTGCTTCGGTTTATGTTTAAGAGTTTACACTCAAAGCACATGAAGTGTTGCTATTAAATGAAGACATGAATTTCAGATTCCAGCTTTTGTATTAAATGTAGTTCACATTTTCAGGAATCATATATTCATATATAACTGTATAAACTGAAGTTTTCTTCATTAACACAGAGCATTAAGAGGGATGTTGTACCTTTTGTAGTTGGAAAGAAGTCAATGAGTTCCCCTTTTGTCGTTTTTCGTTCTGTCGTTTGTCGCTCAGCTTTTACTTGCGCAGCAGCTTTAACTTCATTCACATGTATTACTTTGTGTCTTTATTTACTTTGGTTAGGATTGTTGTTAGTATAATGGGCTAGCTTATTAATTTTTTATTAGAGTTTTGTTAATGGCCTAACATATTATTTTGGCTCAACAGCCCAAAAATCACAAACCAAATATGCTCTGTTTTGTTAAATAACATGACGCAGCACCATGTCTGTGGCGATCAAATGGCGTTGCTACTTGTATATTCAATACCACGACCCCTTTTCATGGCACATGAGTGATTTGCGCGCCACATGGGCATGCACCATTTTGTGCCATCAACAACCATGCACCCGACAACTCGAGCCGAACCTATAAAATTTAATGAGTAAAACTCGAGCCGAGCCAAAGTCAAGCCCGAATTGAGCACAAGCCGGCCTGAAGCTGAGCTTGAGCCGAACTTATTAGGCTCGTTCGAGCTCGACCTGCAAGTCAAGCGAGTGCATTCTTATCAAGTTCAAGCTCGATCAAGCCCAAGTTCAAGCTCGCCCGTTTGCACCACTATTTGAGTACATGCTGGTTTTGTGGCGCTTGATGAAATAATAAGGTGTTGGGTTAAAGTGATTAATCAATTGGGTTCAATCTTTAGATGTTTGATGCCACCTATTTTATGTTATAGTTGAATAACCTTGTTCTCATTGTGAATTCAATCACCTGGAGTTATCAGGGTCTTGGTGCATTGATTTATGCTGGAACAGGGATAGTCAAAGGAAGCAGTTCATCTTCTGAATGGGATGAACTAGAGCTGAAGACATCACAGGTGTCCATTGGGTCTTCATCTCTGTGACACTGGAATCAATTTGAAATGTTCAGCATCAATGATGTTTTTATTTTAAGTCTTTCTTTGTTTGTGTTTTGTTTGATCACAGTTTACCAAACTGATGAAACTTGAGGTTCCTGCATTGTCAATGAGTGGAAACGAGAGGAATATTAACCAAAGGGGTTGATGATTATCAGTTTTACATTCATTCAGATTCCTTGTTGAGATTGAGATCTGACCTTCAACTTGCATCCTTGTACTTCTGGTGCAGACAACTCCCCTTTTATCTTTTGCTTCCGCTATACACACGCCCTCTCCTGCCCAAAAGAGGCAAATATATGGGGCATCAAATGATGACATATTTCTTATTATTTGCGAGCGAATGTTAGTTGCATGGTCATTGCTGTAAGAAATATCATACATTAAAAGTTAAGAGCTTAGTGTTAAATTATTGGTATAAGCAATTATCTTATTAGTAGGATGGACTCATGGACCTATTCTAGTTCCAGTCCAATATGTGTGCTTACCTTTCAACGGGACTGGAAGTTACAGGCCCAATCAAGTTCCCAACCTGTATATAGCATTTTTTTATATTAAAAAATAATGGGAAAATTGTCAAATAGGTCCTCGAACTTTCATAAAAAAGTCAATTAAGTCCTTCTATAAGAAAGTCTATCCGGTTGTCGCGATTTGGGGCGGTTCCCGGTGGAATTTTTTGATGAAATTTTTTGAGCATCTTATTCATCAAGTCTAGTTTACTCATACCAAATTTCAGCTAAAAATTTAATCGGGAGCGCATTCAAATTAATTCGAGAACGCAAAAATGCGCAGTTATCTTCAAGAATTAATTTGAATGTGTTCCCGGTTGAATGTTTAGCTGAAATTTGGTATGAGTAAACTAGACTTGGTGAATAAGATGCTCTAAAAATTTCATCAAAAATTTACACCGGGAACTGCCCCAAATCGCGACGGCCGGACAGAACCTCCTATAGAAGGACTTAATTGACCTTTTTATGAAAGTTCGAGGATCTATTTGACAGTTTTCCCAAAAATAATTAATAAAGCTGAGCCGATCCAGTGTGAGCTTATTTGGAGGAAACAGAAATCTGTCCCGTCTGCTTCTGGTAATCTGGTTGGGAACTGAAAAATGGGCAACTGGCTCAGTCTTTTAGCCGCCCGGTTCTGGAACTAGGAGTGAATCTACATCTAGTTATATTAGTACTCCGTATAAGAATAATAAATGTCATAAAAGTGACAAATGTAGGTATAAAGCTGTTACTAATTTTACTATGAAAAATGTAAAAGGGCTAGATGAACAAGGCTGCAGCACCCTTTATCCATGTGTCCTGGTTTAGCAGGATTTTGGAAGGGCCACCCGGCCAGTCAACTAAATTTTAAAAGGGAAAACTGTCAAATAGGTCCTCGAACTTTCATAAAAAAGTCAATTAAGTCCTTCTATAGGAGACTTTGTCCAGTCGTCGCGATTTGGAGTGGTTTCAGGTGGAATTTTTTGATGAAATTTTTTGAGCATCTTATTCATCAAGTCTAGTTTACTCATACCAAATTTGAGCTAAAAATTTAATCGGGAGTGCATTCAATTTAATTCGAGAACGCAAAAATGCGCAGTTATCTTCAAGAATTAATTTGAATGTGTTCCCGATTGAATTTTTAGCTGAAATTTGGTATGAGTAAACTAGACTTGGTAAATAATATGTTCAAAAAATTTCATCAAAACATTCCACCGGGAATTGCCCCAAATCGCGACGGCCGGACAGAACCTCCTATAGAAGGACTTAATTGACCTTTTTATGAAAGTTCGAGGACCTATTTGACAATTTTCCCATTTTAAAATGAGAAACTTTGTCAAATACTCGTATTTGCTTATGAGTTATGACAGGGCATAAGATATGGACTCTCTGATTTTAAAACTTAATTTTCATACCAGCATTTTGTGTGTGTAGAATTACACTTGGAGAAATTTGACCAAGGCATGTACTCCCCCGTCTCAATTTGTTTTGCAGAGTCAACATTTTTTGGTCAACTAATAATAAAAGTCAACCCTCCCTATGAATAATTAATTCAATTTTTAATAATTAAAATTTACATATTCAAAAACCAAAGTAAAATTTCTTCAATGTTGTAAACTCCAAATTAGAAAATAATTAAAAAGTGACATCATAATTAAGTGAACAAAACGAGACTGTCTGACTGAGAAAAGTCAAATTTGCAAATCTCTTTGGGACGTATTTACTTTCAAAGACATGACGGTCTACATGAGAACAACTATCTAGTCCTTGGTGTAAAAGATTGTTTAATTTAGATATGACATTGTCTGTTTTTTTTAAGCTCTTGCTTCTAAGATATGTTTTGTTTTTCCCCTTTGTATTATCTGCATAGATGATAGAACAGGAAACACATGGATTGCACTTCGTCTTTTTAAGCGTGTGATCTTTATGAGTTGAATATTTGGACAGAATCAATTTTTTTGGTTCAAACACCGGTTCAAAAAAATATCCGGTAACATTATATTTTCTCTAGAAGTTCTTTTTTAACGGAAGTCAATCAATGATTGAGAATTTGAGATTTGTTTAAATAATTTTTTCTGAATTTCAAGAATAATGGAAAATATAATCAATACTAGCAACCAATTTGAAAACTAAATAATCAGTCCAAATATATATATATATACAGTGGCGGAACCAGGACTCGTGACCCGCAGGGGCACAATAACAAAGAAATCATATACTCCCTCCGTCCCGGGGAGAAGTTCCCGAGTTGACTTTCACAAATTTTTAGGAAATAAAGTTACCGAGGGGTAAATTTTACTCTTTTGCACTGTTTCGACACTGTGTGGCACTATTTCGACGCTATATGACACTGTTTTGCACTGTTTGACATTGTTTTGATGTAGAATAACTTTCCATTTAGGAAAATAGGAAGTTTCTTTTGGGACATCCAAATAAGGAAAATGGGAACTTGTTTTCGGGACGGAGGTACTACTACTCTAACAAAAATCATATGCATCGCATATATATCAATAAACAAAACTATAAAATTTAAATAAAACAACTATTAAAATAGCTAAACGCAGGGGGTTGAGTTGGGCGTTCGGACTTGGCCTTTACTCTTTAGGCTTTTGGGGACTTGGGCTGCGGGCTGCTCCAGCAAGATTTCTATGCTTGGGCTGGCACAAGAGAAAGGTTAAGGTAAAGGACTTTTGGGATTGGGCTGCAGGTGCTCAACTAATGAAATATAAATATATGTATATATATTATAAAAAAAACAAAAATACCGCAGGTGCACGGGCACCTCCGGGCACTGGGCTGGTTCCGCCCCTGTATATATATATATATATATATATATATATATATATATATATATATATATATATATATATATATATATATATATATATATATATATATATATATACCTGTTATTAATAGATCAAGAAGAATATGAGAAAACAAGTATGTATAATGTATTACCTAATTCCACAAGTTTTATGTATGGACTGTACCACAACGCAGGCTAGGCCTAGCATATTATACATTGTTTGGGCTTATGTTTTCTAAACTAATCTGTCCACATCTTTGCTAATGCTTACATACAGTTAGGGGTGGACTCGGCCCGGGCGGCCCGACCCGGAACCGGCGCGGCCCGGTTACTGTGCAAACCGGCCCGGCCCGGTGAACTGGGTGGCCGGCGGTTCGGTTCGACCCGGCCTGGGGGGTGGGCGGTCCGGGCTCGGGCCCTGCTTTTGGTGAACCGGCCCGGCCGGTTCAGGCCCGGTTCGGGCCGGATTTATTTTTTTTTTTCCTTTTTTTTTGAATTTTTTTTAAGTTTTTGGGTTGGATTGGGTATTTTGGGCCATTTGAGGTGGTTTGGGGTGGTTTGGGGTTGAGGGGGAGGGTAGGGGGTTGATTAGGAAAACCCAAAAAAAAAATTATATAGGCCCGAACCGGACCTGGGGTTACCCGGACCGGTTCCGGGCCTCCTCTGTCTTGAACCGAGGCCTGGCCGGTTCAAGGCCCGAACCGGGCCCAGTCCGGAACCGGTCCAACACTACATACAGTGATTGTATCACCACTCAATTTTGGAATCTCATACTTCGCTGCGCTAGGTACATGACTACTCAAAATGGCATGCTAAAAAGCGTGCGAGAAAAAATTATGCAATGAAAAGAGTACACACGAATTCATTGTTGCCTCATTATAACTTTTGAAAAGAGCCTAACATAATGGCCTAAAATTTTGCAATGAAAAGAGCCCAAATATTATAACTTCTCTCTTGTTAGGGCATAAACGTAACAAAAGAGTACAACCATACCTTGTTTTCGAGTCCAATGAAGTAAAGAGCATTCTTTTTCTTTAACGAATCTCATTAAAATTAGCTACACTACTCTTCTAGGCTGTTTGCACCAGCATTAGAATTTCCCAGTCTGGTTTAGTTTTGCCAGAATTGATACTATGTGCATTTTATTACTACATTTGTTTCTTATAATATTTACAACTTTTTTTATTGTCACACCAACTTTGTTACTTTACATTTTAAATAAGCAATGTGTGATTCTTGTTATTCTCTCATCTCGGCACATATTTCAACAACACAAGTTTTATTTTATTATTGCATATCAATCAACTTTGACAAAAAGTTATAAGGAACGGGGGATGTTATTATTGTTTGATTCTGATCTGTATTTAGTTCAAAGTAAAAAATCATAGAACCCGTAATTTCGTTCCCTTTGGGGACATCCAATAAAATTGGAACGATACAAAGAACCCGTAATATCGAAAAGGGCTCTTCTAGCAGTTCATCATTGTGCAATTCATGTTGTACCATATAATGTAAAAGCTAACAAAGAAGTTATTGGTTCCTAGATTACGTGTGCTTAACTGGTAGAAAACATAAAATAACATACATGTGCCAAAACCCTACGCAACGTTAAATCTATATGACCATCATCCTATGATTCAATTAAGTTATTCATAATCACAATATTTCTATATAAACAGTATAATATCGATCACTAATTTCCATATATTGAACAATTTATATGTTAGTAAATGATGAGATAATGACTTAGATCAATCATATCTATAACCTATTGTAGGTACGGTACCCTCATTTATTTGTGAAGTACTGTAACACTCACCTTAATCAAATCTCATTTAACGAGTATTTAGGATTCTTTTCAAATGTTTGAGCTTCGGGTTGAAGCATTGCTTCATGTGAACCATGTCCTCCATATTCTAATATTTTCTTCAAGAATGATTTATTGTCACAAAGCCTTCCAGGATTAATAAATAAATATATCACACATAAAATACAACTATACAAGTATAGTTAATATTCATAGATTGGATTGACTTGATACAGGTAGAGACAGAAACAACAATTTCTGAGTTCTCCACTTCAACTTTTATTCCTTACAAAATGTGATTGAATAATCAAATAAAAAAATATTTAAAAAATCAAGATGTTTTGTTTTCTGTGAATGTGCAAGGATGGGGTCATGCAATACGTAGTATTTCTCTATCATTGACTTAATTTCTCACTATAATTTTGGTCATCAAGTTTAGCCAATACCTTTTCATTAGTGTTTACTCTTCTAAGTTTATTTTGGGACACTAAAACACCTACAGAAAAGGCAAGAATAGCTACAAGGAAAATCTCCATGTTATTTTTCAACTTGTTTGCAATTTTTGCCAAACATTTGCAGGACTTTATTTCTCCTTTGGCAGCTACATCACAATGTTCTTCTTCACTTGATCTAACTTCACTCTTGTTAGAGCATTCACCATTTCCATTGACCATTTCGCCCTTTTCATGATTCGGATCGTCTTCATCCTCGGGCGTCTTGGCAGGGGCAGCAGCTGGAACGTTTTCAATTGTACTTTTGACACTATAATGGCCATTAGAATAATCACCACTGACATTCACATCTTTGCCCTTATCCTGAGCTGAATCATCTTCATCTCTGGGGGACTTGGCAGGGGTAGCAGCAAGAACTTTTTCAGCCAGCTTTGGGATGGTTAATTTTAAAACCCCATCGACCAGCTCAATCCTGCTATCTTCAGGTTTTGAATTTTGTGGTGCTTTATAAAATTGCTCAAACCAGATAAACTTTGTCCCATTTACATTCTTTTCCCCACCAATTTTTATGAGGCCATTAGCTTTAACTTCCACTCTCACGTCCTCTCTTCTGAACCCTGTGAATATTAGAAAAAAAAACCATGTGAATAGTAACAAAACATATTTTTGTCCAAAATATAAAATGCAAAGATAGACTATTAAAAGCCAGCTTACTATAAAATGGATTGAATTCAATTTTTTTTTTCTGAGCAAATTTGATTTACATACCATCATTTGCAATGGAGCCAAAGACTCACTATTTTATGGCTTGAGAATATGATGAAATAAAGCAAAATAGTTCACTAAAATGTCCGCGTTTCATTGTTATGAACTAGTAGTCGGTCCATGCAATTTTTGACGTGATTTGCACTATTAGTCATCTGAAAACAGTCTCTTTGTGCTTTAGTACAGGGGTAAGTCTGCGTACATGTGACCACCCCTTACCTCACCGTAGGTGGGAGCCTTTGCGACATTGGGGTAATGATAATGATGATGACCAAATACACCGTTTTTTAAGCATAGTCGATGCATTATTGGCACAAATACATTACGGAGTATATGATGATGTAAAAGTTGAAAATGTTGTCTAATATAGTTAACAACTACTCCGTATATTAATTATGACAATGTTGAAAAGAATATTAGAAGATTATAGTGGAGACAAGAGTCCACAAAATTAAAAATTCAATCAGAATAGGAACCGAATAAGTAAAGAGCATGATGCTACAATTAAGAGTACCATACTATTAAATCCAATGGGATTAGGAAATGGAGAATTAGAATATATAATCTATATAGTAATATATTAGAGATACTACTAAGTATATTATATTCCTAATATATTAGGGAAAATGGAAACTAATAATCCAACCTTTTAGCGGTCTTCTTACAATAGTCACACCTTTTGATTATTCATGAACAATCTAACCTTTGCATCTCATCTTCATTCACTGGTCCCTGACCGGTTGATGACCTACTATTCCAAGTTATTTTCTTATCTTTGCAAATCATTATATCATAAATCTCACCTTTCACAAAGATAATATTTTGCAAAGATAAGAAAATAACTTGGAATAGCAGGTCATCAAACGGTCAGGGACCAGTGAATGAAGATGAGGTGCAAAGGTTGGATTATTCATGAATAATTAAAAGGTGGGACTATTGTAAGAAGACCACTAAAAGATTGAATTATTAGTTTTCATTTTCCCTAATATATTATCCCTTTTAATTCAATTCTATCAATCATTTGATTAAGAAATGAAAATAAGAAAAAAAAAACTTCATCACCATATATTGATATTTTTAAAAAGTCTAGTTTAATACGGAGTATACCTTAGGGAGTGTTTGTGATTGCTTCTACTTAAAAAAAGATTTTTAAAGTAATTTCGATGAAAGTGCTTAATAGTAAAAGTTGATAGTTTTGGATGAAAAGTGCTTCTGAAAAGTAAAAGTTGATAGTTTTTGAGGAAAAATGCTTCTAAAAGTAAAATTTGGAAGTGTTTGGTAGAATAAATGTTTTTTGCGTAATACAAAAAGTGATAAACAATTTAAAAAACTTATCTACCTGCTTGTTTTCAACTTTTAGCTTTTAAGTGCTTAATTTCGGCATAAGCTATCATTTGAAAACACTCAATTAGTTTTCTTTATCTAAAAGTTGAAAGACGTCTTCTTTTTCAATTTTTTGCAAACACACCGAATACGGCGCCATGAAAACTAATCGCTGTGCTATTTTTGAGTTTTAATCAGATGAATTATTAGTTGATTCATCTAAGTGTGATAACCCTAAATACTACTCCTGTTTTTAAATGTTTATTCGGCGGTACCACTCAAAACTTTTGATAAATGTATAAATGGAGTAATCTTATCGAAGTAGTACCTAATGCAAAATCGGGCAAAATATATAAATGGTAACTAATCAATACCACAATTATTTTTAAATGTTTATTTAGCGGTACCATTCAAAACTTTTCATAAATGTATGAATGGAGTAATAACCTTAGAGCATCTCCAATGGTATAATGTGCACGGTGCACAAGTGGCATGAGAGATAGCCACATAAATATTAATAAATAAATTCTTTCTCTCCTTATTTTAATGATTTTATACAGATTTAGTAAGTTTTTCTTCAGAATGTCAAGGAGACCGTCTAAATGTTGACATTGCAGTTGACATTGCAGGGAAAAACTTACCAAAATTGTATAAAATCATTCAAATAATGAGAGAGATAATTTATTTACTAATATTTATATGGCTATCACACATGCCACATTTGCACCGTGTACATTTTAGCATTGGAGATGCTCTTATAGAAGTAGTAATACAAAGTCGGGCAAAATGTATAAATGGTAACTAAACTTTTGATGTTGATGTGTTTTGATACTTAACACTTAAATGAAGCAAATTAGTAACACAATTATTTTTAAATGTTTATTAGGCGGTACCACTCAAAACTTCAGCCAAAATCCAATGTGCCTCTACTGGAAATCCATATATGCAGCCCGATAATTACTCTCCGTGTAGTTTTTATTTTCGGACTTCTCCCGCCTTTGATTACGTGTACAATGATGAATAGATGATGTGGATAGAAACTCATATGTGGAATTTCGACAAAGAAGTGTGATTTTTTTGGAGTAACTTTGTGTAATACCCATTGCTTCGTTTGAGAGTCAAGTTACCAAAATGCAACAATTTTAAGTTACAAAATCTTATTCTGAATTTGGGGGTATTGTGGAACCTGGAAGATGAAGAAGAAGCCAGTAATGAGTAGTGGAGTCCTGATTCCATTCAAAAAGAGGAACCACCTCTTCATATATCGACTCGGCTGATCTTCGAAGCCCCTCAGCATCTACACCTGACATCCAATAATCTCTCCCTCTCATGAAAATGTGATCCACTCTGGGTTTCCTTATATCTGATGGTACCCTGAAAGCGAAGTACTTGCGGCTGTTTGGATTTGGAATCATTTTTCTTGCGGCCTAAAAAGGTTTTCTTCTGTCCCTTTCTTCCATTCAACAGTATCCTCCCTCCGCAACCCCCTAATGTGGTTTTATACTTTTCTTTGAATTGCCATCCAAACAAAGCTGTTTCTCCCGAACGGTATTCATCGATTCCCGGCCTTACACATCTTCCAAACATGGCCAGGCGGGAGCCAAAGAATTTGCATTTTGTCTATATTTTTGCATAAATATTATAAGTATATTGTTTTTTTGTGAGTATAAAATACATATATATACATACTTTAAAAAACATGAATAATAGAATTATAATTATACGTATGATATGCTAATTAATCATTTAATTTTATTATGTTATAAATATAAATAATAATAAAATTTAGGTATACAGATACAAACATATACGAAGTATAGTTTTCACTTTAATTTACAACTTCATTTCTTTATATTCATGCCTAAAGTAAAAGTATTTATATCGTTTAAAAATTTAAAATTTAAAAGTAAAGTAATATTCGGTGAGTCTAGACGATCTAGGCAGCTGATTAGGCACTCTGGGTGGGCAACTAGACGCCATAGGCGTTCGACTAATTCTCCTAGATGCAAACCAATTAGTCGGAGCGCCTAGACGAAAATCAGGGCGCCCGACCGCTGCCTAGCACGACCTATAAACGATTCAATTACGCTTGGGGTACACAACTTGTACACAGAGTGTACAAGCTATAAAAGCCCAAAAAAACTCCCCATTTTTTAAAACCCATCTCTCTCTTTATTTTTACCCTCCTCATCTCATCTGCCACTTTCTCTCCTGCTGTATCTCTTTTACGCCCCTTCCTCTCTTTTTAACTTTTTCTCTTCTTTTTCTCTAATTTCTCCACCATTTTCACTCCATCCATCTTCCACTTTAGTTTAGCTCACCAACTTGTTCGAACACTCCTCTCCCGGAAGCCTCGAGCCTACTCGTCCCGCACTCCATGTCCACTCCTCACTTTCTATTACTCTCATTTTAAAGCTCAAATTTATGAAAGGAAGTTCAAGGTTTCACCTTTTTATGATGGATGGATCTTCCCAAAGTCATTATTATTGAGGTATTCTATTTAGATTTTTCCATATGCATTTTAGGGTTCTTTTTTAATTTTTTTGTGTCCTGAATTTATGTATGTTATTATGTATGTTGAAACATTGAATAATTGCAATTTTTTTTATTGTAAAAGATTGTGGTGTTAGCTATATTGAATTTTAATCCCAATACTCTATTTCATTATATGCCCATAACATGTTTGTTGGAATGACTCTATGAAATTTTTGTTCATATCCATTTCTCCCTTTTTTGTTAACCAATTTTAGTTTCTTTTTTTACCAGTTTCACATAAGAACATAGAAAGATAAAAGGCCAAAGTAAAATAGAGAGAAAAAAGATCAATCACCACACGAATATGCCCCTTCCATTTGCTTCTCCCGTAAAGAGTTATTTTGGTTAAAATTATTTACTTCTATGAAATTGTTTAACTAGTTAATACACCATAATATTTAGATTCGTTGCTGGATGACACAGATAAAATTGGTTGGCATTAATAAAATCATGCATCATCAAATCTAATGACTTGAAACAGAAACTGCTATTTGGTTAAAAGAATCGCTCGGGAAATTTGACAGGATATGATCTTTACTTGATTGGACAATTAAAAGATATGAATCATCTAAGTCTTTTTTGGTATGCTACAAAAGAAGCAGGTTCATTGGCTTTTTTCATTAGTGCGAGAGAGCTCAATGGTATCACAATTCTTTGGCAGAGCATTTATTATAGTTCCTGAGCGTTGGCACAACACATGATTAGTAATTAAGTTTTTAAGTGCTTTTGACATTTATGGACAACACAAAAATAGTTTGACATTTCTCTGTCAAACTTAAAGTAGAGAAAACAAATTTGCAAGGTTGAATCACCAAAGCTATACCTGGCCTTTTAGGTATATTTTCACTTTGTTCTGCACCATTGAATTATAAATTCCTCACTCGTTTATGTGTGTTATTTTGATTGATCATATTCATGAACATGTTAAAATCACAAGATTCACTATCTCACCGGAAGAAGCATTAGGAAAAGGTTTCTTTTTTTTGTATGGTGAAATATCATTCGTATCAGTTTTGTAATATTATAAAAATCATTCTTTGAATACTTCGTTATTAATTATTATTTCTATGTAGCTATTGCTATATCTCATATGAGTTTTGCAGCCATGGGATCAACAAGTTTGATAGACTTATGAGTTGCCTTTGAAATTGACTTGACAAGGCATGACAAAGGGAACATGATGGTCTTTTGAAAATGATGATCTTATGAAGAATGCCAACTAATTTAGTCATATTTGGTGCTCATCGAATCTTATAGAATTGGATGATCTCAAATTAGTTTCTCTTAGATTAGTCGACATTGGAATGTGTTTATATTTGGGTTGTAAATGATAATGCTTGTTTTAGATTAGTTGGCATTGAGATTTGAGGTGTTGGAGGGTATATGACATTTGGGTTGTAAATGATAATGCTTGTTCTCGGTATTGGAACACTTTGTTTGTAAATATGCTTGTTTGTAACCAAACACTTCATGTCGCTTTCACAGACAATTCCAATTAGCATATTTGCATGTTCCAGTGGTTATTGCCTGTGGTCAGACATTTCATGTCTGGTTTACAGTCAATTCCACTTAGCACATGAGCACATTTGCCTGTTCCATTGGTTATTGCCTGCGGCCAGACATCTCATGCCTGTTTCACAGACAATTCCACTTGGCACATGAGCTCATTAGCTGGTTAATGAGCTAATTAATGTACTAAGTGGAAATGTCTGTGAACCTGATATAAATGTCTGACCACAAACAACCATCACTGGAATGAGGGAAATGGGTCAATGTGCTAAGTGAAATTGCCTGTGAAACAGACATGAAGTGTCTGGTTAAACCAAATAGCCACTGGAATGAACTAATTTACTAAGTGGAAATGTCTGTCAACCTTATATGAAGTGTCTAGCCACAAACAATAGTCACTCAATGTTCTAATAAGTTAATGTGCTAAGTGGAATTGTCTGTGAACCAGACATAAAATGTCCGGCCACAATCAATAGTCACTGGAACGAGCAAATGTGCTGAATGAAATTGTCTGTGAATGTAACATGAAGTGTCTGGCAACAAACAATAGTCACTGGAGTGCTCCTATAAGTTAATGTTTTAAGTGGAATTGTCTGTGAACCAGACATTAAATGTATGGTCACAAACAATAGTCAATAGAATGAGCAAATGTGCACATTGGAGTTGTCTGTGAACGTGACATGAAGTGCCTGATTACAAACAATAACCACAAATGAGTTAATCTAACTTGTGTATGAGAAAATTTGAAGCTAAACTCCCAACTGAGACCATGTATGATCTTTTAGCTATTTTGCAAGACTATGTATTTTCTATTAATCTAATAATTTTAACTAATACAGTTTAACTTCAACAACATGTCATAATGAAAATAAGATCACTTGATCACCATATGCTTGATCATAGTTTGTAGATGCACATTGATCGTATGTTGTGATAGCTTTTCGGAGGCAATCATATTCTGATGATAAAACAATGCGGATAAAATCACAACAACCATATATGTATTTTCATTACCTTGTCTCAATAAATTTAGAAGCAAAAACTTATATTACATTTAAACGTACATAATAGAATGTTGGACAACATTTACAAAACTACAAAAGTATAAGATGATTAAAAAACTCTTGATTCAATATTGTAACTACATATATAATTACATCAACAACTTTCTAAAACTAACACACAACTAGTCAATATATCTCAACACTAAAAAGTTCAAGCTATTTTAGCATCTACTACGGAGTATATATTAACTTGGCAATTGGAACAATATCTCTCATCGATGTTACGAGCAATTCCAATCAGCAGATTTCTTGTCACGGGTCTCATCTTCAGGGAGTACTTTTCCTGTACAAATACAATATAAGGGCAGAGTTACACCACGATAGAAAAAAAGGTGCTAAACTGCAGTACATGACTAGTAATTTTCAGGACATTATGCCAGAAAGTGAGGCATGGCTAGTATTTTTCAGGACATTATGCCAGAAAGTGAGGGGTAAAGCTGCTAATACAGAAGTATCCAATTAAACATGTGAATAAAAATAAGTTAACTCAATGCCAATGAAGTATAAATAAAATTAGCATCCCAATCACGAATCCAAAGTATATGCATCTTTTCTTTATAAATCAGGAGACACACACATATACACACACACATATACATACATACATATATAGTTAGAAAACATTACTTCACTAAGGAATGCAATTTGAAGCAGATTTTTTAATAATACACAATAGGGAACACACCATTTTTCTATCGAGATACTATGGCAAGAAGAATACAATTTACATAACTAGTTCGATTTTGTTGTCTTTTAATTTCTTTAAAGGGCAGCCCGGTGAACAATGGCATAACTACAAGGTTATTAGGATCCAAGAAAGGGTACTACCACATGGGCATTTAACTTGAGAAGATTTTGATCTATTCATATAAGAAAACAAAGAATTACTTTACTCAAATTTGGTGCAGTGCAATGACATAGTGTAAGACTTCTAAAGATGAAACTAGTACTCACTCATCTTCCACAAACCAAACTTAAGTACTAAAAGTGTAGTAGAACACATATTATAGGGAAGAATGATGAATATTTATCATGTGTATGGAATGCTTTTAAATCTATCCCAGTAAACTGAAACTACTTGGCCACTCCATAAAATAAAGAAGCAAATCAAGAGGATGCAGACTATAAGAAAATTTTGAATATAGTACATATTATAAACACCAAATTTTGAACATATTACCTAGGGATAGAAAGACAACATTACAGATAGTAAAACA